AAAACCGCGGTGACTGTATTCACCTGCGCCTTCACCCCTCGTTAGATCCAGGAGTGCTGCACATAGCTACGCTTAACTCCTTGGCAACTGATTTTATACCTGATCTGGGTCGATGTGGTACTTGTGTTTTCGAGCAAACAGTTTTCCCATGGATACAGTAACGGCATAGGAAACAACAGCAATACTAATTGCTGGAACTATGAGGCGCTCAATCAAGACTCGTTCAAAGCGCGGTATCCGTGGAGCTGGCAACCTGAATAGCTGAATTTCTACCCAAATACGAATCGAAACTCGAAAAAGAGGGAATTCATTATGAGAAAGAGAAGTAACAGGCTGACCCAGCTGGGACCTCGCCGACGATGGTTACGCCGAAACGGTCATGAAGATTAACAAGTGCTGATGCTGTAGTTACTACCATGAGCTGAAAGTGGAAAGCGTATTAGCTAGCAGTATCTCAGCTGGAAACCTGAAGTTTTAGCTAGGGATAGAGTACGGGGCAGAGGCTCTATCCAAAACCGTCAATGCCGTACGATAGCTTGGAAGAATACCACGTGGGACAATGATGTCTTCCAAGTTATTAAGGTGTACTGGGAGAGTGCTATGTAGGGTTCTCGGGGCAGGGTACGGCGTAGGGATGGGACAAATGATAGTGCCAGAAGACCTGCCCAAATTTCTTCCTCTGGGAATTTCCCTTCCTTACATCCTACTCACGACCTTCCTGATTCTTCCAAACTTCCTACTTTTCCCGAAAAATTACTACTTTCCTCAAAAATCTGAGGTCGAGTAAGCAGTGTGGGGTCTAGGTGGCGCGAAGCAAACTTAAACCGGAATGTGGAAAGCCAACAACCAGAAGAAGTTTCCTTCGCTATTTTGAAAAATTCTTGTCAAGAAGGGTTACGGCATCTATAGACCCAAGACGGCCCCCCACCACCAACTACGAATCTCCTGATGGAATTCTCCCAGCGTTGCTGCACCCTGACTCGGGATCCCAGAACCTGTGCATAATGTGCGCCTAGAATCCGTGAGGGCACTGCTTACTGCTTCTCGTACTTTCTCTGGTCAATTGGAGACAGGGCAGGTTATGGTATTTTAGGGATCCCAACGAGGGGACCGTATTTGGTCGCAGGGAGGAGAGTTCGCATTTGTTTCCGAGCGGTGCTTCACGTGCTCTATGTACCCCCCCCTCTCCCTCGCTCAACGGCAGTAGTCAAAGAAACAGGAAGAAATTTGGAAAAGTGGTACGAAGTGATTAGGAAGGGGGTCGTGTCGAAAGGGAGGAATTTTCATGTTTTAGGGGCCGCTGAAAATGTTATCCGAATGACAGGACGTGGAGGACCTGAGAAAACGATGGCACATGCTCGCTGGATTTTTACTGGGTCATATGACTAGAAACGGAAACCCTTTTTTACAAGGATCTCACTCACAACAAGAAGTTCGGCTGGAAGTGAAATTCTCTTTCTTCTTAAGTGAGGTTCGACGAGCTCCTTATACAGAAGGAGGAATACGATTGTCGAAATGGATATGGCTAAGGTAACGAGGTTCGTGTCCGGTACTCTTTCCGCTATCGCCAACCATTCCTTAAAAAATATTCACTTCGAAATTTTTCAGCAAATGACAAAACTAGCACGTCCCATGAGTCCCGTGTAGTGCATTAAATAAGCTTCAATAGGCTTCCAATGCTGTAAAAAGAGAGAACCTCAAAGAGTTGAAGGAAACCCTCGGTGGTGCCTTCCAGGTGGATCCCAAGCAATCCTTTGATCTGAGCCGTCAAAGCGTGTATTGCGGCACCAAACGTCAGCCCGGTCACAGCCGAATCGGTCAAATACGTTGAGAAAAACGACAGGCGCAGGACCCAAATTACTAGCTGCAACTTTCAAATTAGAGCATTCATACGATAGTTCCAACATTTTAAATCACAGATTTAGCGCTCCAACCCGGTCATTTGACGAGTTTCGGCGGTGCGGGTGAGAGCCTTTCGAGTGGTGATTAGGAACAACGCGCCAATCACGTGGCTCTCCTGCACACTGCATTGCTCTACCAGGAAAGTCCATGTTAATGGAATTCACTAACGATTTCATTGTTGTTAACTGAGGATGCTGGGGTGTGTCAGGCAAGGAGGGGACGGGTGGGGCGCGGGTTTGTTGCTGGTGGGGCGCGGGTTTGTTGCTACGCAAAACTCAGCTCCTTGACACGCCCCGGCTTCCACAGCGAAACATGATCGTATGCCTCTGTGAAATGACCAGGACACAGACCACATGCTCATCGTGTTGGCTTCCCAAGTTCATACATTGGTATGCCTGCACCGTGTAATTGATTGGCTAAGCAAACCTGTACAATACCCGTCAGGAAAGCAAGTAGCACAATGACATCGACCGGCGTTAGGTCGGTAACTCCTAAAAGAGTACTGCACCGGAAACAATGAACTCTCATGGCCATAGTGATGTTCACCTCGGTACTCAATAGCAGTACCATTGACGTCATTTGGCAAGAATTGACAACCTAGCCTGTCCGGTCATAATACATGTCAGCGAGAATACACCTGCACGAATACATAAGAATAGATCAATTTTCGTGTCGTCGCACTAAAATGATGCTAAAATGTCAGCAATACGAAGATTGACCTACCTATTGAAATGTGCCTTGAGGAGCCGAATAAAAAATAAAACAAAGGCGGGAAAAAAGAAGCATAAAGGCCAAAAACTGGTGGTAAACTAGCGAGGACTGAGTAAGCCATACCTGTAATGTAGCCTGCATTCATACTCTGGAATCCAAAAAAAAAAGCAAAAAATAAAACTTTCCGAAACCCCTTTATTTGACCTTTGGTCATATAAAAAAGGAGAATATTAGTTAATTTTACAAGCAAATGAGATTTTTGGAATAATTCTCTTCTCAATCATTGAGCTCAGTTAGGAGCAAGTATAACTGGGCAGTAAAGGTCATGCTATCTTTCCGACTTGCCACACCCGCATTACCTGCTGCGCGCACTTACCAATAAAGCTTGTGATTGGTGCAGGGTAGCACCGCCCACACGCAGTGCGCACTCAACGGAAAGAAAAACGAGCGGCGCTGCGCAGACCCTTTCCGCACGTGCGCATAAACGATTACCCATCATTCGCAGCGACCAGCACTATGTATAAGGTTCACATTATGTTTAGGCGAGATACCGCGTTCCCGAAATTCTACTGCCAGCGGCGAAACTGTAAGCAGCGACGGAATGCCTTCTAGTCGTTCTTTGAGCTGACAATAGCTCTACACGTTTAGACAGCCGCCATCCGGGCAGCTTATTAGGCGGTCAAGTGTCGCAGAAGCGGCTGCTACCCTTTGGCCGCCTAATGAACTGCCCTGATGCAGACTGCATGTCATGTACAAATTATCAGTGGTACAAATTATCAGGGGTCGGAGGGGACTCACATTTGGTCGCTGAGTGAGCTCTATACGCCCGCCCCCGCGCGTCTACAGAATCTAGGAAACAAACATGGCACGGGGACCGAGCTGACGCCGCCCATCCCGGTAATGCGCCTTTTTTTTGTTCCCGGCTCAGTAGTATTGATGTAGAATAGGACAATGAAAACGTCTTTGAACCTCCCCCCCCCCCCTCCTCTCTCCACATCCCCTTTATTTCAGCTTCGAGCTGTCACATTTGCTGCATGCATACCGCCTTCAAGTTCTGTTGTAGACAAGTCTCCTCCTTCCATACCCCTTTACGATTTCTTTTGGCACGAATAAGCTTCTCTGCTAGCGACTCCATAGTGTCACTTTTGTTGAATAAATCCTGTGTAGTGTGGTTCCTATGTTTTCATTTTCTGTTGATTTGGCATTATCAGACAGAGTACCTTCGCAGTAACTTTTTACTGCAGTGCATTTACGAGTTATTTACGAATTACTTGTAGTCGAGCACTGTTTGGTGTCAGAATAATTGAAGTTATTATAACTAAGAGTGAGAGATCAGGGAGCTCTGGCTTGAGCTACGAAGAGATTCTATTCACTTATGTTTAATTCCTATTTTTGTCGTATGGCCAGGACAAGCTGCCACCCGAGTTGCTCAGATCTGGAAAACGGTAAGGTGTTTAAGAACAGATTGCGGAAGATCTGTATTACGGACTCACTTCACTCCTTATTCTAAATGGAACCAATTCAGATGCCAAAAGACGGGGATGTTCTTTCGGGTGAGGTCAACGGCGATCATTTGGTACAAAGAGTACTTCCTGTTGCAACCGTTCCATGCTTTTATGTTCCACACTATTATGTTGTTAACTCCATGTTAATGGTGTTGTAGAGCTCTCTGCGGATGGCATTTTTTTCTATTTTGTTTCATTTGTCTTATCCACGCTGTACGCCATATGGTGCCGGCTGGTTTATAGGGGTGTTCGCCACGATTCCGTCCCACATTTGATTTCTTTTTCCGTATGCTTGTGCTCGATATTTTTTTCAAGGCATGCAAGCCCTTTTGTTTCTTTCTATTACCGCTTCTATCCACCATGTCAGTTCCACGAGGGACGTTGGTATACCCGTGTGCCGAAGTGCTGGCATGTTCCCAATGACTTCCGCTGGAACGAGGGCGCCATAGCCAACTGGTGTGGATCGTTGCTCAAGTCCTTAGAAGTTATGCTTGCATGCGCTGCTACGTTCTAACACAAGCTACGGTTAAGGATGTCCACATTTACTCGACCCTATTTCATTATTAACTCTTTGCTCCCTATGAGCCTGGCCTACATCATTTCGGCTTTTAGCTATTTGACTATTGGTTTTTTTTTCTCTGGCACACTCATACAGTGTATATTGAGTAAATAATTAAATAGATAAGCTACTCTGAAAGCGCTCAAAGTTGTCGTGCTAAATCACTCACTTTGTGGTGCGTTATAGATTGCCAACGTTACGCCGGCCACAATGTCAGGCATCAAATCCTCGCTTTTGTAAGATTGTACCCATCGAATAACAGGAATATGGTCATAAAGAAGCGATAATAGACCTGAAAAGAGCAATTGGAATGGGCTCAGATCATGAACGGACATGGTTCGGAGGGCTGAAGGCACGATCCGCATTAGGGAGCGTAAGGAGTGGTGTTGAAATATGCAAGAAAATTTGCCATTGAGAGTCGTTTGTAAAGAGAAAATGCTGAAGGAAAGTCTGGAAACTCCTAAAATGAGACCTCCTAGGCTCAAGCAAGACGAAACAGATCGCCTGTTAGGACGGGTCTAGTTAGTCGGCTTTTTATGATGAACCCCATGACCACCTAAGCGACTTTGGAGTTTCAGTGCTACTCTTTCGGTGACATCGTTCCCGTTGGGATGGATTTTGAAGACAGAGTCTCGAGATGGAAGGACCGGAAAAAAGGAGGTGCCAATAAAGCGATTCCGCTCCTCAGCTACTTTACCTTAAAACTTTCAGTCGTGGAACTAGTACAAGGTTGCCCAGGAGTGGCATAGCGATCTCCCATTCCCACACAGTCTTTTAGATTTTCGTAGCACACCGCGCAACATTCCTTCGAAAATATTAGAAGCCGAAGGTTCCGAAAGAAAACTGTCAGTACGCCCGGTGTGAATACTGAATAGGAT